TTACCCTTCCCTCCGCAATCTCGAGAGTGGAAACGTCCGTTCTGGGAAACGTCTAAATCTCGCCACGATCCGAGAGGGCGTGCCAGTCACGCGACCACCGATCATCGTTACCACCGGATAAATTAACTCTCGCCACCCCTTCCCCCGTCTATATCCACCCTCTAATTTTCGTATCGAAATTACGTACGCGCGCGAGTACGAAAGTACCGATCGAATTCGGCCTTTCAATTCGAAACAAATTATCCCACGGGGAAATATCGGGATGGGGGATTTATTTTTAACCGTCGAAGCAAGAGGTAAGAAGGTGAAATTACCGATAAAAAAGTTTACCCGTTTTTAGAAACGTGGCGACGTTTATTCCCATTTCGAAGATTGTGGCCGAAAAAGGAAAAGTCCGCGCAGGATTGAACGAGAGTTTGAGAATAAAAAAGTAAAAAAAAAAAGGAAAAATAACTTGCCGTGTTGTGTCGCGCGGCAAGATCGAATTTACGATCCAATCGCTTCACCGAAAAAATCAATTTCGCGGGAAATACGTGTCGATACATTCAACGATTCGCCTCGATTTGGCAAATTCTAATTACGGCGTACGCGCGCGCGCGCGCACACACACACACACACACACACAGGATACGCTCGCGCGCACTCACAAAGCGGGATAATATGCTCGCAGCGAACAAAATCGTTCATGAGAACACTCTATGAATTCGCGAATACTCGGTTGGCTTTGTTCATCTTTCGCACGCTATTTCTCCTGATAATTGAGTGTTGTTTAGCACGCCGCACAATGGAGCATCGTTTATGTTGAATTCCTCTCCCCCTCGTATTAGAGGAGGAACGTTTCCCACGGAAAAATATCGATTCGAATTCCCTCCCACCCCCGAAATTTCCAACAAATCTCATCGAAATAACTGTCTCTCCGAACTTTGAACGAACTTGTGTCCCCGCGCTAGGGATCTCGAGATGGCTGCGAATGTTTCTAGGAACACGATCTCATCGGGTTGACGCAATTATCGTTTAGAAGAACGGTAACCGCGCTATTTTGCGACCGTTTCCGCTCCAAACGACTCGTATTTTATTCGGGAATATGTATTCGCAAAAATGGTTATTCGCGCGAATCCTTTTTCTTTTTCCTCCATTTTTTCCACCGATGATCGAAAATTCCGAGCAAAATTAAAAAAAGCGTTCCCACGTTTCTCTTCCCTTTCATTTTTCTTACATCATATAACGAGATATACGTCGATATACGATCAATATTTGACAGCCGAGACAAGCGCAAAAGTTATTAAACGCGAAAAATATCGATTTGTTTGTCGACATACACACGTTAAATTTAACGAAACGAAAGCTCGCTTCGTAAACCCGTTTACTGTAAACTTCCGCAATCGTTTGCGAAATTTAATAATCCGCCCATCCTTAACCTAAACGTTTATTTCGATCTCCTCTTCGATCGACTCTTGGAACCACGTCACGAATACGTTAACATCCCGTTTGCGATCCTGGTCGTCCCTCATCGTTTATGCTTTCGCCTCGTACCGATTTTTGTGCCATCGCGTTTTCATTTCACGCGTGCCATTTAACACTCGTCACGTCGCGCGTGATCGAGCGATCATAGCTAGAATCGCGAATTCAAGCGTCGAAAGACGAAGCATTGAAAGAAAAAGGGAGCGAGGAAACCTCTTCGTAATCGAGACACCGTCCTGGAAATTTCCTGCGCGCCGTTTCTCCTCGTTAAAGCGACGCGATAATAATTATTCCACCGGTCCTACACCGGTAATTACTCGAACCGGTGGAAGGAGAGAGAGAGAGAGAGAAATCATCTGCTCTCCGAGTTTCTTCCCTTTTCTCCCCTCCCCCAAAACGACGTCCTCCACCCTCCTTTTCTTTTTTTTAATGATTTTCGATAAATCGTTGGACCAGACGACCGAAATAACGATCGAACCCCCTCTCTTTCCTCCACCTCCATTCGAAATTCATTCTCCCCCTCCCCCAGGGACGATGGTGTTTCGCGGCGTCCGGTCGAATCGACCTCGTGACATTGACGGGATTAATTATGAATTTCCGAAAGAAGCTTCCGGCTGGAACCGATTACGAAACGCAGCAGTAGGGAAGGGACGATTGATCATCACGGTGCGTTCGGCTGTATTCGAATCTCCCTCCTTCCCTCCCCTTCCGATCGAAGCTCGGTAATATCGTCGATTAAACGTCGTTACGAAGCAGTGGATCGAGTTTTCGAGAAGGGGATGGATAATTTTAATCCGACAGGTACCGACACCTTTTTCTAAATTTATATCGTTTGGGTAACTAGCGGGGACAGGTGGGCGGAAGGAGAAAGGGAAAAGGCAAGAGGATAGAGGGCGTGATGTGGAATGGGATTAATCCATTTTGAGAAGGGATCGAAGGAGCTAACCGGATAGACGAGCGTCTAGGAATTAGATTGTACAGCGAACGCCGTAATAACCGGTCTTTCGGTTCTTTCTCGATTGGAAGATCGTTGGAAGAATACACAGGGAGAGCGGGCGATTATTCGCGATAAAATCATTATCCTTCCCTTCGATCGAAACGGGACTCGACTCGAGAGAGAGAGAGAAAATTAGGTACAACGTAGATAGGGACGAGATAAAATTATTGGCCGGTCTTTTTTATATAGGAAGTTGATCGATACAGCCGATCATCAAAGCGAGAGCCTACTTGATCATCCTCCTCGGTTGTAATGAATATCTCTCCGGAAAAAAAGGAAAAAAAAGAAAAAGGATCGTCTCGATAAGCATCGACGATCTATCGACGAGGCCAATCGAACGAATCGTAAAAAAAAAAAAGGAAAAAATTCGGAATCCGCTTTTACGATGTGTCGTAAAAGAGCGCGTGGCGGCGCGATCGACTGGCGATCGAGGCGAGGGCGCCGACTGCTCTCTTTCTCCCCGTTCGAGAGACACGCGCGCGTATCGAGGGAAAGAGATTCGAAAAAGTTGGCGGGTCGCGCGTCCCGCGGAGGAGAGGGGCGCGAGATCGGAATACAAAGTGTCGAAGGGGGTGGCGGGGGAGGGAAGGCGGATAGATACAGGGGCGAGCTGAATGGAAGAGAGAGAGAGGAAGATCGCGGAGAGGAGCGGGAGCGCCTGCGCCCTCGGCTGTACCGAGTTTCTGCGTACGTTTCCATCAGTCGGGTGTTCAACTCCGGACCGCGAGCAACGAGCGATCGGGGGGGCCGCGTCCAACACCCTTTCGATCGCCTTTCGTCTCGAGAGGATCGGTAAACGTCCATTCCACACGCCTCTCTCTTCGCTCTTCCCTCCTCGCTTCCCTGCTAATTTTCGTCGTGGATTCGAGATACACGCGCGCGTGATTTCGAGGGGAGAAGAAAAAAAGGAAAAAGAAAGAGATTCGAAAAACTCGAGTCGAACTCGATCGAGGTTCGATCGAGATTCGGAAAGGAACGACGAGCATCGACGAGGCCGTGAAGGGAGGGGGACGTGGTCGTTAACGTTGATCGATCACCGTCCTCGAAAGATCGAATATCCCGTTGTATAATCCCGTTGATAATCGGCGGTAGGTAGCACGGGGATGGGACGCCGATAATTATGAACGGGTCGACTCGTTAGTCGCGGTGGACGTTAACGGGTGGCCTCGTCGATCCGCGGTTCAATTGTTGATCGGGTTTACGCGCCGTGACAACGAAAGAACGCTACGCTCTAATTGCCCACCTAACTGATTAAATTCCGGCGAAGCTAGAGTCGAAAGAGGAAGAGAGAGAGGGAGGGAGAGAGCGAGTGGCAAAATTGCCAAGGCAGCGAAATACGTTTCCCGATCCTCGTCACGTTTCGAAGTAGATCGCAGCGATGCTGCGTTGGAACGGAACCGTGGACGAAAGGATCGGTCGGCCGGTGGAGCGGAGAGGCTTCGAGTGAGTGAGAGACGACGGAGTGAAAAAGGCCGTAACGATTGGACGATCCATCGTTCGATAGCGCGGTCGAATCGTGGGCAAGGTAGGCGAGATCCCCGCCTCCGTGGAGGGATCGCGTAATTAATCGCCAGACTTGCACGCCGAATTAATTCGGACGGATTTACGATCTGCGCGTCTGGTGGTGGTGGGCAGACGATAGCCGGTGGTGGACGATCATGAAGTATCACCTGTGCGCGCGAGTGGCCGCGGCGTGGCGGTGGCAAACGAAGAGGGACCGCGTTTCGACGCGACGACGTTGATCGAGCGTTGTCCGTCTTAATCTTCTCGGCGTTCGACGACGCCCACCAGAATTTCGAGAAGATAAAATAACGAGAAGGGGGTCTGCGTCTCGTTCGAGGACGGAGATCCTCGACGTAATTAGTCGACGGTTAACGTCGTTCCCCTTCGAGACGTTCTTCCGAACTCTCGTTCGCCAATTCGAGGAGTTTCGAAGGGATGGGGACGAGGTCAACGAGTTAATCCTTCCTGCGTAACGATTGGGAAGAAAGGGAAGTTTCAAAAAAAGGCGCATCGCTCCGCCGAGGCCATGTCCCACCGAGCGAATTAAAAGCATATTGTGCGCGCGGTTTGCGAGTCACGAAGAAAGCAGAAAGGAAAGAAGAAAACGGAAGGGGAGATAAACGCAACTTTCTTCCTTTCTCGGCAAAGTGTCGCGGAAGAAGAGCAAAGTCGATATAAAATGGTGTGCGAGAGGGAGGATTGAAAGTGCGACGATTTGCGAGTGAATCCGCGTAAAAAAAGAAGAAAATGGATAAACACGAGTATCTCGCGACTAAGCAAAAATCGAAGAGGAAAAAGGATTCGTGAAACGCGGCACGTGGAGTAATAAAAATCGAAAAGTTGGTGAAAGTTTGTCGAGGGGAGGGGTGGGGGATATAGGGTAATTCGGAAATCAAATCGTGGTGGTAGTGGTGGTGGTGGTGGTGGTGGTGGTGGTGGTGGTGGTGGTGGACGTACGTTCGGTCCGACGGCGGCCAAACAGGAATTCTTCTCGCTCGCGAAACAATGAATCGCGGCGAAGAGTGATTCGTTCGAACGTGGTGCGAACGACGTTCTGTTCGAGAGAGAAGGGCAGAGAGAGAGAGAGAGAGAGGAAGGGGAAATGGTGGTGTTAGGAGGAATATGGTGCGGGTGAGCCGACGGCGATGGCATGAGGACATTAGTAAGGAAGAGGTGCGGGTCTAGCGAGGAGGAGGATGAGGATGGTGGTGGGCGTGATGGTCCTCGGTCAGCTACTGACGAGGATTTTGCTCGCTGCCCATGCGGGAGATCGGCTCGCGGCGGCTCGCAGAATACTCAGGGACGTGCCTTTGATAGACGGGTGAGTGAAACGATATTATATACTCTCGATATCGTCCCGATGTAGAGAGAGAGAGAGAGAGAGAGAGATGAATCGCGTAATTCGATGTCGCGGTGGAACGAGAGATAAGAGTGGAATTTAAAACGAGACATAGAGATCGCGACGTGGAATCGGAAGGAGCGGTCCTCTCGTAGCTTGAATTTTTGGCGTACGCCTCGTGAAGTTGTTGAAATTTTAATGAATAACTGAAAACTCTGGTGTAATCGTTAACTGGAGGATCGTTGAGGCGCACGGATTTATAGCCGGCGGAGAACAATGTCGTCGTAACGACGCGCGCATGGATGACATTCCATAGCCGGAGCGTGGCTCTAATTACACCGGAATTAAGCTCGAAAGGAATGTCGTCCGTCCGATTCGCGATCGAATCCATTGGGAGAAGGCTTGCTCCAGGAAAGCGCAAAGCGTTTTCCTCGCGTCTTTCTCTCTCTCTCTCCGTGTAACCGTGGATATCGATTCGTGTTTTGTCCAACCGATTCCAATCTTTCCACGCAAATATTATTTTCCATTAAGCGTGTTTCTTCTTCTTCTTCTTCTTTTTCTTCTTCTTGTTTCTTTTCCTTTTCTCTCTCCCTCTCTCTCTTCTCTCCAAATTGATGAACCCCTGAGAACAGTGAAATTGGAAAAATGGCGGGCAAACAGAGTGGCCCTCGAGCGGGTAAACAAAGAAACAAATTGTTTGTCGTCGATGCGACGAGATGTAAAGTTCGTTACCGTCGTAAAAATTTCAGAAACGAGGGAAACAAAAAAAGGGGGAAAGTTACCGCAGCGTCGCACCCGACAAAAGAAACGAGATGCGCCCGATACAATCGAGCGCGAATGCAAAAAACCCGGGGGTGCGCTGTGTGAATTCCGCGCGGCGAATGCGGGACACCGCAACGAAGGAAATTTCGCGGACGAGAATTGGGGGGGAGGGGAGAGGAGGAGAAGAGGGGAGAGACTAATAAAAGCTAGGGAATATGAAAAACGGTATCCGCTGTCTGTCCAAGTGTCTGTCGTAGCTTGAAATCTCGAACGCGCTTTCCTCTTCGACGCGAGAATGAAGAGGATTGGAATGGAGGAAGGATTGGAAGAAAAGAACGGAGTCGCGTCTCCGTTTTCTCCGCCCGAGAGATAATGAGAAAGTTTGGCGGAAGAGAGGGGAGAAAAAGGAGAAGTTAACGGAGAAGAAATGGGGGAGAAGAGAGAAGGATGGGAGGAATTGAAGGAAGGAAGCGAAGAAGAGGTGGAAGGCGTGATAGAATCTATCCGGAGAATCTGGCCGGTGGCTATTGGTCTTTTCGAGTCACTTCCAAGTAGATACGAATTTCCGTGTTCAGCCTCCACCTATGGATAGGTCTGAGCCACTCCTTCCCAAATAGAGAGAAAGGATGTATATTTGCGTATCTCGTTGCGTGGCACGCAACGATGGTATCGACGTCTCCGACCGGAATAACTGTCTCGAATCGAAAAACAACATTGAACGGGGTGATCGCGCTCGATCGAAACCGAGTTTTCCTCTCCCCCGATTCTTTGGCGCGAGACGAGGGGGAACGACGAGCAATTACAACGCGATAAAAATTCCTTGAACTTCCTCCCTTTTGCATTTAAATAGAAGAAGAAGAGAAGGAGGAGGAAGAAGGATGCTCTCCCTTTCGAAGCCACGTCGACTTCCTCCTACTCGTATCGCGAGTACCTACCTCGAGTCTCGTCGAGGAAAAATAAGCTGGCGGGAGATGGCGACGATAAAGACGAGAGAAGGATCCTTTTGTCGGTGCAAATTACGAACGAACCGTGTCCACCGTGGGAGAGCCTTTCACCCCCTGGATCGCGATAGAAATTCGAGGAATCCTTGGAGGGTATCCGTGAAAGGGGAGAAGTGGGGCACGAGCGATTTCGAGCGATTGTGCACGACTCGAAGACGATTCGTTACCGATAACGAGTGAAAGCCTCGTCGAGCCTATTGTGCCCTGTATAATAGTTTGCATTTTTCCTCGACAACGGGCAGAGAAACGGAGAAAGAGAGAAAGAAACAGAGAAGGGGTTGCACGACGCAACAATCGAGCGCCGTCGCGTTGTTCGTAAAAATGGAATGAAACCGTTGGAATTTTCGCGACTGGCCAATTCGTGCATTCGTGGCCGATGCTTCTTGTTCATACGCGAGGAACGTACGCGAGAACAAAGAACCTCGTCCCGCTCGTGTTTCGCCTCATTAAAAAGGGAAAAAAAGGGGAGGGTGAAAAAAATTTGGGAAGCGTGACGGCTCATCTCTATGTTGTTCGATGAGAAAGAAAGAACGAAAGAAGGAAGGAAGGAAGGAAGGAGGGGAAGAAAGAGAGGAAGAAAAAAAATCCTCTTTTCATCAGCGCGTTATTATTACCACGTTTCCGCGTCAGGTATTCAATTAAAAGGGGAGCAGAAAGCAGCGTGTTCGAATGAGGCGGGGTGAAGGAATGGGGGGAGGGGCGTAAAAAATTCACAAGCGTTGCGAAACGTTGAACGACATTCGACCCGCAATTATTCTTGTTTGCCTCCATACCCATTAAACCGTGAATCGACAACGTTTAACGCGAAAGCCAAGTTTTTTTCGTCGAAAAAAAAAACCCGCGCGAAATTCGCGGAAATATTCCCGCGAAGCTGAAGCTGATAACACGGGTTGGACACCGGCCTGTAATTGCCCCGTTCAACGACTCTGTTTGTAGCGGCGCATCCCCGTGCGGAAATATTTAATTACCCAGACCCGTTCCACGCCGCTGGACCGCAAAACTTGGCCCTCACCTCCCTGGCTTTGGCCAACGAAAGGGTGCAAAGCGGTTACTTCCATCCACCTCTTCTCCCACCCTTTTCGTTACTCTTTTTGGGGGGAAGGGAAAAGTATCGAGGAAGAAATCACGAACCAAGCAACCACCGCGAAAATTGGAATAATTTCAATCAATTCTTCGATGCGACCGATCATTTGCGATCGATCAAAGTTTAAAAATCTCCGTTTAACACATCCGATGAACGATTCGGAATAAAAAGCGATTCCGCCACGAAGCAACAAGTCTTCCGCCTCGTCGAGTCGTGAGATCCGTTTCGTCGTGGTTGGAAATCGCGCGCGTCGAGGAGGGACACGTAGGAGAAAGAGGACGCGTAGATCACGAGAGAATACGATCCGAGCCGAGTTGTTATTCCTTCCTGATATCGAGCGAAGCTCCACGTATCCACTCGACGGCGCATAAATAATATATCATAAGGCGGAGGATAAGGTAGACGCGTCCACGATGATGCTTAAAGCTTTAGAGGCGGTAAAGAAGATTTAGGCCGCGATGAAGTTGGCCAAGTTCGCGCAAGGGGAGGGGAGAAGAGTGGAGGAACGAAGGAAGAGTGGCTGCGCGTCTGGTGAAATATAGATCCGCCTCGTTATCTCTACTTTCTTTACCATGTTCGAAATTCAATGATTTAAACCGTTCTGCCCGCGCGTATCGATCTACAGAGGAGATTGTAAAGTATCGTTCGATGATTTCATCGAATCTCCTTGGAAAGGTTCAATTTGAAAGTGCGTGTAAAGAACGGCACGTACGGAAAGAGATGTACACACACACACATATATATATATATATGTATGTGTGTACAAAGCTCGTTATCGAGGATCCGCGGAGAGCGTATGTATGCGCGATTTGATATTGCTGGGCACGCTCGATGGGATCGTATTCGAGAAAGAACGCGGTTCCAGAAGAGGCAATGATAACGATCGAGAAAGATTATCGAAGGCGAGGCACGTGAAACCGGTCGACGTACGATTATTACCTCGACTCCGATGCTGGTGGAAGAGAACCACTTTTCCTCGATTTCCGGCAAATTTCGTTGAAAATGGCGCGTACGATTTCTTCTCGAGCCAAGCTAAGGTTCGCGCGTTCGATTTGCGAAATAAAAAGGGGGGGGGATAAAGAAGAGGTGAAAAAGGAACAAGATGCGCGCGCTATAAATCCTTTCGTTTCTAGTGGCACTTTATAAAGTGGCGCTCTATAAAGATTTTCACCGCTTTACCTATCTTCACTTGACGCTCCAATATTCCGCATCCCCCCCCCCCTTCTCCCCCTCCCCATTGTTTCTCCAAGATAGAGACAATTATTCGTTTAAAAGTTTTACCGATACTTATACTCGACTCGTGCGAAAATCTCTCCTCTCTCTTTTTTTCCCCTCCATTTCCCTTGCTGCCCGTTTCGAAGAAGAAACGTTCGAGGCTTCGATTTACTCTCGGAGCACTCTCTCGATCCATTTCGAATCATTCGATTCGAAACGATTTCCTCGCCGACGTATTCTCCAACTGTCTTACGTTCCAGAAATTTTTCGAGAAAGATTAGGGAATAGTTTCGAGTAGTTTCCTTCGTCTCTTTTCCTCTCTTTCTCGATTCGTTTCGCTACGAAAAAAAAAAAAAAAGAAAAAGAAAAAAAGAGAATGGATAGCATGGCGAAAGGATGGAGGAGGAACACCTTTAGAAAGGCTCGAAAAAAAGTAGCGGCTTGGGAACGATTGAGACCGAATTGTTTTCGCAAAGTCTGTCGAGTACATCGAACGAACCTATCTCAAACAACAAACTTCTCCCTTTCGCTTTTCTTCGATTCGAACAACGGCTTTCCTCCCCCCCCCCCTCTCCCTTCCTCTCTTCCATCCAGACGTGTCGAGAACAATTCGAATCTCGTAGACATCGTTAAGATACCGGATTGATTAATCCCGCAGGAGGTAAAAGGAACGATCCGTCCGTTACACGCGGCAACGAGCGGCTAAATGTGTAAACGGAACCGGATGGTTTAGAAATTTAGAACAAAGTTATTTAGTTAGCGCATGAATATGTCAGAGCTTTCTGGCATAGGGGGGATGAAAGTTAGAAATTCCGCCAAGTACTTTGCGTATTAACTTTGACGAAACGTCGCATTATACATCCCTTCAAAAATAACGGCAACGTCTCGCGAATTCGCTTCCCGTTTTATCTTCCCGAATT